CAGAACGGGAGATACCATAACTGTTTAGCACACGTTTGGTCAAAGGATCGGCTTCATTTGTCTCTTTGACAAGTTGTAATATGGTGCTACGAATGGTGAAATTCACTGACGATGCCGGCGAAACGTCTGGGAATGTACCGCGTCCACGGTCCGACTTTGAAAATAATTATGCATACAATGGACTCAGGACAAGGTGCGTTTCTATAAGTCTACCTACCACTATGACCAAGTTGTGAAAACAGGGTCAAACAACTTCTATTACTTACGCCACTTTAAATGACACTACGTCGTTTTGGCTGATATTATCCTTGAAAATAGTAAGTGCATATCTGTACATATTCCGATGTGATTGTGGAGTGGGAAGAAAGGCAAGGTAAAATGGTAGACGGTGCAGCGAATTCGGATGGAGCATAAATTCAAAAGATTCGTCTGATGTACACATTCTTGTTCTTCACCACCCCCTTATGTATGTCCTAGTCTTGTTTATACAGACTGACTGCATATTCTTGACGTAATACTGCCTTGGCGCGGTAGAGGTAGTAAGGCTTGTGCTTGCCTCGCGTCCTTCATTCCTAAATATTGATCCTTTGTTTTAAATAAGCTATTAATTATAGTACTAAGCATAAGCTCATTTAGGCTGAGGTGAGGACCTAAGTGAACTATAGATCTTGCATATTCCTGACCGTCTTTATTGGTCTTAAAATCAATGAACATTCCGTATGATTAATCTTCATATCGTTCCGATCGATTAGTGCAGATGTTCATTCGCACTCGTTGAGTTCTTAGCATCCCTTTAACAGTGTTATGTTCAAAACCATTTACTGTTTGCACACATAAACGTATGGATTCAAATATGTTCTGCTTTTTGTTCAGAGCCCTGATGGGTATCGTCTGGCTGCTGGCACCATCAATGGGACAGTGATGCTCTGCGATTTAGAGACTGGGCACGTTCAGCCTCTGGATGGTCACGCTATGCCTGTTCGCTCACTGTCCTTCTCTGCTGATGGACGGCTTCTGGCCTCCGCTTCCGATGACAAGCAAATCCGCATTTATGACGTCCACGACGGCCGACTAGTTGTCCCTCGGTTAACAGGACACGCCGGCTGGGTCGTTTCCGTTGAGTTTCCTCCCTCTGGACAGACATTGGTTTCTGCATCCACTGACAAAACCGTCCGAGTTTGGAATATTTCCAACAGCACAGAGGTGCATGCCTTCCGAGAACATGAAGACCAGGTCTGTCTAGGACTCTACTAATTTCTACTCTCTCAACGTTGTCATTTAAGGGATATTACTGATAATGCTAGTTGATGTTATGAAAAAATTTCGCATTCCCTATATTCAGTACTATTTGCTATCTATACACCGATGAGGTTTATTTTCTATAAGTAGGTATTTAACATAGGTACCTACTGACTTTAATTGTAACTTCGTCATAATTAACTAGACTCATTGGTATCAACTCAACTACTTAATCAAGCTTTAAGTTATTGTGTGAAATTATTTAAAGTAAACGCCCTTAATATTGTTTATTTAAAAAAAAGAATTTTGAGATCCAAATACTACGCTAAAACTGATTCACTTAACAGTCAATTTACTATTACTAAAGATATACGCGTTAGTATTTTCATAATTCCTACTTTCATAGAAGATAGCAACATTATCCGAGTGGATGATTGTACATTAAACACATTTGCAAATTGCCAGGCTTTTCATACGGCCAAGTTTCATCTAACTACTATAATCTACTCTAATACCATCTACTAGTTGGCATTCAGCTAGATTTGGCACCTTTATATCAAAGAAGGTTATTTAGTGACGGGGAGACGCTAATTATTTTAGGTGACTAGCCATTAGACTTTGTTAACGTAAGCATTCAAGATAGTTGACAATGAGGCATTCTTATATTTTATTATAATGGAATCTGTGGTCATTATGCTACTCGAACTAAATTTATATAATCGAAGAAATGAAAACCAAGATAGTGTGGCCCTCGGTATGGTCGCAGTCTCCTTTCGATTTATAGAACGGGGTTGATCTTGTTGTCGCAACTTAGTATTGTTGCCAGGGTGACTTAGTAGTTATAATTTCCAGCATCAGAACGTGGACCGTGAGAATATACCAAGTCCACGGTGTGATGCTGAGACTTATGATAAACTTCTATGGCAGATGACTTCGGACAAGGTGCGTTCAACTAAGTTGCCCTGACAACAAGACCAAGTTGCGATAACGGGGTTAACCCACTTGTATAAATCGAAAGGAGACTGGCCATATCGAGGGCCACACCATCTTGGTCTTCATATCTTGGAATCCTTTATCCATAAAAATATCATCTTAATTAAAGGCCCGTATTACCTTTAGATGAGCCCCGATATACCTTATCTATCCTTGTCCTTTTAGTGAGACGCATTATCGCCCACAATAAAGTTGGCGAATCAAATATTGTTAATAATTAAACAAGAAATAAGAAAATATGGTTTTTAATCTTTATTTACGTTTTTTCTTTTCGCCTCGAAAGTTAAGGATCATATTCTTGTGTCTATCTTTAATTGTTTTATAATAAATGTAAATTCTTTGAATTGGTGAGCCTTTAATACAGTTTTAAACTTCTTCAAATTACTGTGTTCTCTGATTAAAATTCGTTGATATCTGATGTTAATAAAACTGCTAAACATACTTCCGAGTGAAAGTATTTGGTGAAGAGATTCGAAAGTCGACCCCATCAGAAGAATACGGCCGATTTTTAAACAGCTGTCGATTGATTTTACTGGAACATTCTTGTTGACGCTGTTTCCGAGACAATCTCCTTCGATTGCGATGAAAAGTTTTCGTCAGTCGTATAAGGGATATCAACAGAGCAGAGTAGCATCCTTGCAACCAGATTCATGCTAACGAGTAGAGAAAATTCACAGGCTCATCCTTTAATGCTGTATATATATATATATATATATATATATTACATATCTGAGCTTTTTAATGAGGTGTGGAGTGATTTGATTAGTTCAGGTCATATGTCAACCTCGAAGCCTGCGAGTGTGTCCGCCTTTGTATCTGTATGTGAATGCTTGTGTTAGCATATGTAAGAAACCGATAGTCATGGCCCAAAGTAATTAGAATAAAAAGTAACGACTGTTCTCGGCCATCAAGGTTTGGTGTTCACCATCACCACCTCTCTCCATTTATTTTAAAAAATACTCCGAATTCGCAAGGTCGGACACGCTCTGGTTGTGTTGAAAGTTTTTTTATCTTCATGTGAGAAAGAAAGAGTGGACCAAATGTATAGAATAGTGGCCATGCTTAAAATTAAAACAGGAAAAAATTAGTGGCCTCCTTGCAGGTGGCTCAAAACTTTCTTTATTCTTGAGTATATTAATTGAGCATCAGAATGTTGTGAAGATTTTC